AAAGATTTTTGGTCCAAGGGCAACAGCAGTCATTGTGAAAATTCTCCATCCTTTCAAATATCCTGGACTCAGAATGATGTCTTTCACTGCCCACCATGTTTACTTGCTGAGATGGCAAAGATGGCGAGCTTAGTAACCAAGCTCTGGCAGGGTGAATATAGTGTCCTATCATGAGCTTTTCGACTAATCAGAATGTCCAATTCTTATATTCACCTCTGGAAATTATACTACTAATAATAATTATTATAATAATAAAAATGTAGACATTTTTAACAAAAGAACTGTCAGTATTAATTACAACAAAATTGTTTTTTGATAATTAGGCAACCAAGATGGGTACACTTATGGGTGTATACCTTCCTACAATCCAGAACATATTTGGTGTCATCCTGTTTATTCGTTTGTCATGGATAGTAGGCATAGCAGGAACTCTACAAGCTTTCTTTATCGTCTTCATTTGTTGCTGTTGTGTAAGTATCAAGATCTTCGTGTAGATGATGTTATTTTTGACTCAATCGTTTCTGCCTCAGTCTGTTATAACTTTAAAGACCTGGATAAAGTACGTTTTCATTCACGACTCTATCTGTCTGTTCCATTAATGTTCATTAATGATTGTCNCAACCAGGCCCAGGAGCTAAGCTTTTAGGCTGGCCTAAATCTATATATTATTATATATGTGGTAACCTTCAATAGTGTTGTGTGATTTTTATTCATGATTTATCCAGACTATGTTGACTGCCATTTCTATGAGTGCCATCGCTACAAATGGAGTTGTTCCAGGTAATGTTGGCTGGCTGCCTGCTATAAGTATAAGCATTGATCACCAGCTTCGATACAGGCTTATTTTCAACATTGACACAGTACATCAATTTTCTATTTGGAAATGATTTTATAACTGTTCCACCTTTTTCTTGTTTGATGTTGCTATTCAAAAACACTTGCAGTATTGACTGATGAGATACTGTTAGCAATGATATTATGCTAATACACTTTCAAAACCTTTTGTAATCTCTTCATGCTATTGGGTCTTTCACATATAATTTGACTATATTATTGTATTCAGTGGGTGGCCATGGCTCTGGGTCACAGCCTTTTAGGAGGGGTTCACCCACAAAATGTTTCCTTACTTGAGCTGAGGGTTCCTCATTTTAGAAGAAGAAAGGAGTACATTCACAGTACTTCCATCTCAGATTACAGTACTCTCACTCCTTATGGGTGATGTTTCTTTGTAACAAATTCTCGAGGAGGTGCCTCTCAAGGGTTTCACTCTGCAAAGCATCCCTTGATAGAAATTGCTTAATCAAATCAGGGCAGCATGGTTTCATTATGGGCGGTGTTATCTTCTGTCCTTTATTATTGGAGATCCACATAAAATCTCACTTCAATGTCAGTAGTATCGATGTTAATTTCCACTTTGGGCCTGTTTAATGAACTGTTGTAAGTAAGAGAAGAGTATAGTAGGAGCAGAGAATTAATTTGACTGTTTTTCAACTTTTGAATTTATTTTTCAGCTGGGGGAGCTTATTTCATGATTTCACGAGCCCTTGGGCCTGAATTTGGTGGTGCTGTTGGGTTGCTCTTCTACCTTGGAACCACATTTGCTTCTTCTATGTACATCCTTGGAGCAATTGAAATACTCTTGGTGGGTTAAATGTTAATTTATAAGACGATTTAGAGTTGTAGATTACAGTGGCGGTATTTTATGTTGGCTATTTTAGAATGAAGTAGGCTCTATCAAGACCACGTTATCAAACACTTTGACTGTGGCACCTTTACATGATTTACCCTGTTCTGGGATTCAGGAGATCAGCCTGCTGGAAGAACTAAACTGCAGGTGAAATGCTCTGCTGTGCAAATGTAGCATAAAGTGCAGTTCCCACAGTGATCATCATTTTAGTTCACCTTCATTATACCAATACAGAGACATGTAGGCATGTCCTTCAGGAAAATACAGACACTGACCTTAAAAGACAGTTTGAAATAGTATTTTGATTTTAAAAATGTTCACTGATGCGAATTTCTGCTGGAAGCTATGAAATGGAGAATGTTAAGTGACCAAAGCTGTGTGTCTGAGCTCCCACTCTCAACAACAACTTCCACTTTGAGTTTTATGATTTTTAAGATCACACTTGCCCTCCGACCTTGGGAATTTACCATACAACAAGTTTGCAACCCAAGTTTCCTCATAAAGGCTTTTAAATTTTTATCTGCAGACATACATGGCTCCGTCGATGTCACTCTTTGGAGATGTTAGGTCAGGAGGTGGTGCTCAGTCCCCAGTGATGTTAAATAACATGCGCGTGTATGGCTCTATTCTTTTGGTCTTCCTCATAGCAGTTGTATTTATTGGTGTCAAGTATGTCAACAAATGTGCCTCTCTCTTCCTGGTGTGTGTGTTGTTCTCTATTCTGGCCATTTATCTTGGATTTTTCTCTGCACAAGCAAGGGAAATGCCCAGGTGACGATCATATTTGTATTCAGATCTGTTATTAGCTTCAGTGAGCTGAGTTTTCCCTTTAACTGGGCGCTCATGCAGATTAGTGCTGGGAGGAGGTAAGCTTTATGCTTGCTGGGTGTAAATTGGCTCATAGACTTTTAACACAAGTTTGAAAGTGGGTGTGATTTTAAGGGAACCATAAGTTACTTAAATCTGTAACTTTTGATTGGGCTTTTCATCTTCAAACAAACAAGTGGTCATTTTTAATTTGATGCCATGCAATGAAACAAATGTTATGATAGTGGGCATCATATGATGCAGTGTGATTTACCACTTCGAAAAACCTGACATGCAAGTTTCAAAATAGACTGTGGAATAATAATAATTATTATTACTATACTACTTAAGGATAATNCTGATGCACTTTGTTTTTTTCAATATTTGTAGATAACTGGAAGAGTAAATATCTCAAGAAGGATGAAGTCTCTCCAGGTGTAACGGCTGGTGAATTTCAAGGAGAAGTGAGATCAGACATAACCACATCTTTCTTCATTCTATTGGCAATTTTCTTTCCTTCTGTGACTGGTAGGTTAGCCACTGTTAGCATAGGACTCAATTGTTATTTGCATTTAGCATTTGTACAGCTTTGGAAAATTGTCCAGGAATTTTAAATCTCATTGTCCATGGTAGGTTGTCTCCCCAGCATTACCTCTGTTGGTACCTATTTACAGGGCTGTCATCAAGTTTCAAGTCACTTGTTTCTTTGGTCTTCATGCCCAAAACAAACGTTTTGTGTGTGTGTGTGTGTGGGTGAATTGTGTCAGTAATACTGGTGTTACAGGTTATGCCCTAAATGACAGCCCTGCCAATTTATACTCCAAGGTAAAGTGATGCATGGTAACAGTCCCATAGCCAAGAACACAACACAGTGGCAGTGGTCAAGGGTTCTAACCCAGACTTCTTAATCCAGAATCCAGCACATTAACCATTAGGTCGCCGTGCTGCCAATTATCTCCTAGGATCATGTTCCTAATTCTTTGGCTGTTTTTTTATTTCAAAGGAATAATGGCAGGGTCTAACAGGTCTGGTGACCTGCGGGATGCTCAGCAGTCAATTCCTAAGGGTACAATAGCTGCAATTACCACAACATCTGTTGTCTGTATCCTTTACATGCCATAATAGATGGTTATTATTATAATACTGGTAATTATTAGGTAATGTGTTGTTGCAGAAAATATCCATACCCCTCCCACATCACATAGGGTCCGCCCCATCTCTTTAGAAATTCCAGTTTTGGTTTTATACTTTGCCTTTTAGGACACCCTCCCCTCTCCCCTGTGGAAATTCCAAAAACCCTTGAAGCTTCTATGGATATTTTCTGGAACCATGCAGTGCTTTAAGGCAAGTTTGTTCTGATTTTGAATTTTCTACTTTCTTTACATAGCTTTGACTCATTTTCAACTTATTCTATTATTCAGAGAACCTGACTCGGGTAAAGAAAATACTTGAAACTTGATTATTAGAGTAACTTGGTTTGTCTCAAACTAGTTTGGTACATGAGCTCCTAAAACTCAGTTGTTTTAGATGTGTCATGAATTTACATGAATAGCAGTTTCTGGTCTTGAATTAGTGTTAAAATAAATGAACATAAAAACAAGGTACTCTAAACTAGGCTTGAAGGTAAATATCTAGAGACATAGTTATTGGCACAGTACCTCGCTAGAACCCCCGTCTGTTTATCTTTTTCTTCTATTTGTGCCATTGTTAAAGGCATTTGAACGTGATTGCCTTAACAAAGCGTTAAGATCTAACTTGTGTGTTGCTGTTTGGAGCAACTGTACATGGAGAACTACTGCGGGACAAGTACGTTTTAACCGCACATTGCATTCAGCTTCACAGTGCTCCGATAATAAACTGTTAACTAATCTCAGCCAGATGCCTTATTTCTCACAAAATGATGTAACTTCTCCAAGTCATTTTTATTAGCTCTTTCTGTTGGACAAAATCTGTTTTGTCTGGGTCAGCCTTGTAGCCTGGTTATCGAATTACTAAATCGTTCACGTGAAAAGGTGAAGAATGAGCTAAATCTTTTACCAGTTTTGTGTGACTCTTTTTTGCAGATTTGGTCGCAGTATCAATAGTGTTATGGTTGTAGCCGAGATTGCTTGGCCTCCTACCAAATGGGTGATTCTTATTGGTTCATTTCTATCAACTGTTGGTGCAGGCATGCAGAGTTTAACTGGGTGAGTCAGTTCGTTACTTGATAACGTTCTTGTAGAAGGAAATTTGCAATTCTTGAGGCTGGGAATGGAAAAAAAGGACTGCGCGTGGGAAGTAATATGGGGAAGGACTAGCATTTTATCCAGGTGAACGTAGCACTCCCAGCATTGCTTATGCTACAGAAACTAAGGTTAACGGCAGACTCAAGAGACAACTTTAACGGAAATACTGCGTTGTAGCTGTGAACCGAACTGAATTGTATTATAATACAACTCTCGTGTTGTGAAGTGTGCTCCTGATAAGGCAAGGCAACAGGGAAAAAATAGTAGGTAGAGCAGTTTTCACTCGAGTGTCGAAAGTAATTCACGGACGCTGTGGTATTGCTTTACAGTGATAAGCGATTGGCTCAAAAAAACGTGCGCCCTTTTGTTATCCAATCGTGATATCACAAGCGTGACTTGCTCGCACACGTGTTTGGTTCGTAGTTTTGATTGGTTTACTAGTTTATCTGTGTCCTTTATGATTGGCCAGGATGATTACAGTACTTTGGTTTTGGTTTCGCGGCACTCATTTGAAAAGTGCTCTTACGTAGCAAACTGAGTGTGTAATGTACTCAATGATGTGAATGTTTTTGTTTTTATTGTAGTGCACCCCGTTTGCTGCAAGCCATTGCTAAAGACAATCTGATTCCGTTTCTGAATATCTTTGCTTATGGTTCCAAGTCTGGAGAGCCAACTCGTGCCTTGATGCTCACAGCTTGTATTTCAGAAATTGGAATTCTGATTGCCAACTTAGACTCAGTTGCGCCAATTATCACCATGTAAGTACGTGAAATATAAGTTACAGCTAAGCCTTTCCAGAAAGAAATTGATCATTGAGGGATGTTCATTGTCAGTTATTTTCATTCAGATCAATGTTATCCACAGGTTCTTTTTGATGTGTTATGGGTTTGTCAACCTGGCCTGTGTGTTGCAGTCGCTGCTCAGGACGCCAAACTGGAGACCACGATTCAAGTATTACCACTGGTAAGGTGGATTGTCTACGGAGTGAGCTACGTACATGTTCGCAGCTAATATTCAACGCCATTTGCTGTTTTCGTGTCCTCGAAGTTTGAAAGAGTTTGGCGCGAAAATGTGCAAGACTTAAGTAAGCCGGAAAGCGTCATAAAACGAGCAGCCCTAAATCCAACTGCGAACCGATAAACAAAGTGGATAACAATTGTTAAATTCGTCCTTTATATACGTCGTATAGAGCTTAACTTTTCATTGACTGTCTTAACTTTTAGCTGTTTTACTATGGACAGCGTCAGGCTAGATATATAAACAATAGCCTCCATTTGGCGCGAAAATATGCTCGGATTTTTGTCCGCGGACATTATCTGTTCCGAGAAGCGAACAGTTTTCCGAGAGCGAAGCTCGAGGACAACTGTGAACTTCGAGGAACAGATAATGTCCTCGGACAAATATCCGAGCATATTTTCAAAGTCAAATGGAGACTATTGTGTTTATTATCCATTAAATACTTTTGGCAGCAGGCGCAGTTTCGAAAATTGGGGAATGTTCTCGAATATTCGGTCACGTAACGCGTTTAGACCAATTGTGCGCGAGCGAAAATATTTGATGGACTATTGCGTTTGACGAAGTGGAACGCAAACCTAATTTCGACCTGTGGCTTTTCAGAGTTGGTTGTCCTGTGCACGGTTATAGGCCGAAAAAAATCACATTCCTGTAAGGACACCAAAATGGCCACCCCGCTTGATTTTTGCAGGGGCATGTCACAGCCAGTAAACTGGTACCGTTTAATGCTAAGGCATGTGATAAGACATGTGAGTATGTGAGCAGGCCATGTGAGCTCGTCTTTCCGATGGATCTTTCTTTGACTTTTTTCCATTCAGTTGCCGTACGCTTCGCTATTATGTGCTCTCAGCATTAGATTTTGGCGAATTTAAACGCTTCGACAGTAGCATTTATCGA